GCAGTACTTTGAGCTGAGCAATTTTTCCGAGGAAGATAAACTCCGGGCAGTGAGGATGTGCTACGTCGGAAGAGCGTTGACTTGGTATCGATGGGAAAGAGGGCGAAATCCCTTTAATAGCTGGAACCAGATGAAAACACGAGTGTTGGGATATTTTTCCCAGACGCATAATTCGTCGGCCGGGGCACGGTTGTTAAGGATGAGGCAGGAGGGCACCGTCAGAGACTTTTGTCGGGAGTTCATCGCTCTGGCATCAAACACGCCCGAGCTCTCTGAACCGGTCTTGGAGATGGCGTTCATGAACGGCTTGAGCCCCAAGATCAGTTTGGGTGTGGCGATGCTCGAACCCCACAACCTTGATAAGATGATGAGTCTGGCAAAAATGGTGGAGGACTGGGACGAGTACGGAGGCCCCAAATCGTCCCCTGGCTCCGGCGACGGGTTTAGAGAGAACCGGACTGCGGTGAATCGTGCGGGCCCAAACAACCCTCACATGGGCCAGTATGGGGGTGGAGGGCAGAATTTTAGGCCCAAACCCAATTTTCAAGGGAACAATAAACCGATGACGTTTAAAGGAGCTGGGAGAAACCACCCGAAGAGTCACGACCGCTTGAAGCCTCTGTTTCGACGACTAACACTGGCGGAGATGGCGGAGCGGAGGGCAAAAGGGTTGTGTTTCAGGTGCGATGAGAAATATGGATACAACCACCGGTGTAGTCAAGCTGAGTTACGGGTGCTGGTGGTCTACGACGATGGAAGGGAGGAAGAGTGGACGGAAGACCCCGAGGAAACCCTCGACGAGCAAGGGGAGGAGGTCACGGAATTAGCGGAGCTGTCACTCAATTCAATGGCCGGGATCTCGTCGCCAAGGACCATCAAACTTATGGGAACGATACGCGGGTTAGAAGTGGTCGTGTTAATCGACAGCGGCGCGTCGCATAACTTCCTTAGTGACGCTGTCGTGAGTCAACTGGGAATCGAGACGGAGACCATGGGAGGGTATGGGGTCGTGACAGGCACTGGCATCACCGTACGAGGGAGGGGAGTCTGTTGGAATGTTGAGCTCCTTATGCAAGGATACAAGATGGTAGCAAGTTTCTTTCCACTCGCGTTGGGCGGTGCAGACGTGATCCTAGGAGTACAGTGGCTAGAGACATTGGGTGAGACTCGGGATAATTGGAAGCTCCAGACCATGAAGTTCCAGGCAGGGGAAAAGACTATCACTCTTCAAGGGGATCCCAGCATCTGCAGCGCGGTGGTCTCTCTCAAAGCGCTCTGGAAGGCGTGGGAACACCAAGGGGAGGGAATGGTGATTGAGTTTTGCGGGCTGCAAACGGAGGGGGAGGAGTTGGCTTCAATTCCAGAGGAGCTCGAGCCCATTCTGGAGGAGCATCACGAGGTGTTCCGAGAGCCGCAGGGGCTGCCACCTTCTCGAGGAAAGGAGCATAGTATCACGTTGACAGCCGGAACTAACCCAATCAACGTGAGACCGTTTCGATACCCACAAGCACAGAAAGAAGAAATAGAGAAACAGGTCCGTGCCATGCTCATGGCGGGAATCATCAAAGCTAGTGGTAGTCCCTACTCGAGTCCGGTGCTCCTGGTTAAGAAAAAGGATGGCAGTTGGAGGTTCTGCGTCGACTATAGAGCACTGAACAAGGCGACAATACCAGATAGTTATCCCATTCCGATGATAGATCAGCTATTGGATGAGTTGCAGGGGTCTCGGGTATTCTCAAAACTGGATCTCCGCTCAGGGTACCATCAAATTCGGGTGAAGGCTGAAGACATTCCCAAGACAGCTTTTCGAACCCACGATGGTCACTACGAGTTTCTAGTGATGCAATTTGGCCTTTCGAATGCCCCTGCCACTTTTCAAGCCTTGATGAACGATGTCTTCCGGCCTTACCTGCGTCGTTTCGTGCTAGTATTCTTCGACGACATCTTGGTGTACAGCCGCAATGGTCAGGAACATCAGTATCACTTGAGGCAGGTCTTGCGGGTGTTACAGCAGAATCAGCTTTACGCCAACCGCAAGAAATGTCAGTTCGGTAGCAAGCAGATAGAGTACCTCGGGCATTGATATCTGCGGAAGGGGTTGCGGCTGATACTGGCAAAATACAGGCGATGGTAGAGTGGCCAACACCGAGGAATGTGAAGGAGCTGAGAGGATTCCTTGGATTGACGGGTTACTACCGCAAATTTGTGCAGGGGTATGGGGAGATAGCGAGACCTCTGACTATGTTACTCCGGAAGGATCAGTACTTGTGGAATGACGCTGCTGAAGAGGCTTTCCACCAGTTGAAACAAGCAATGACCACGGTGCCGGTACTCGCTCTGCCTGACTTTACAGCACTATTTGTAGTGGAGTCTGATGCATCAGGAGTGGGGCTCGGAGCAGTGCTGATGCAGAATCAAAGGCCGTTGGCCTATTTCAGTCAGACTCTTACCGACAGGCAGCGAATGAAGTCGGTGTACGAGAGGGAGCTGATGGCTATAGTGCTTGCCATTCAGAAATGGAGACACTACCTCTTGGGGCGGAAATTCTTAGTGAGAACTGACCAGAAAAGCTTGAAGTTCCTCCTTGAACAGCGTGAGATAAATCTCGAGTACCAGCGTTGGTTGACGAAGATATTGGGGTTCGATTTTGACATCCATTACAAACCGGGTCTCGAGAACAAAGCTGCCGATGCGTTATCCCGCAAGGCGAGGGTTACAGAACTCATGGCACTATCTATGCCTGCAGCGATTCAACTGGAAGAGATATGTGCGGAGGTAGACAGAGATCCCGAGCTACGGAAAATCATCACTGAGCTGTCAAGCAACCCTGACGCACACCCTGAGTACTCGTTAGTTCAGGGAAGACTGCTCCAACAGGGCAAGCTGGTAGTCCCGAGCAAATCAGCAATGGTGGGGTTGATTCTCACTGAATTCCACGACGGGAAAATGGGTGGACACGGGGGTATCCTTAAAACTCAGAAGAGGATTGGAGAGTTGTTCTATTGGGCAGGTATGATGACAGATATCCGTCGCTATGTGGCAGCCTGTTCTACTTGTCAGAGGCACAAGTACTCTACCCTTGCTCCGAGTGGGTTACTTCAGCCTTTGCCAATACCAGCCAATGTATGGGAGGATATCTCCATGGACTTCGTGGAAGGGTTACCACGATCAGAAGGAACCAATGCGATACTGGTAGTAGTGGATAGGCTTACCAAGTATGCGCATTTTGTAGGGCTCAAACACCCTTTCACAGCAACGGAAGTGGCGCTCCTATTTGTCCAGGAGATTATCAAACTGCACGGGTTCCCCAAAACCATAATCTCGGACCGCGACAAGGTGTTCACTAGTCACTTTTGGCGCGAATTGTTTCGGTTAGCTGGAACGACCCTGTGCCTTAGTACAGCCTATCACCCCCAAACCGATGGGAAAACGGAGGTCACCAACAGAGGTCTGGAGACGTATCTCCGCTGTTTCGCAAGTGACAAACCTAAGACTTGGGCAAAGTATCTTCCATGGGCGGAGCTCTGCTACAACACATCACACCACTCTGCGATCAAAATGTCTCCCTTCAAGGCTGTATACGGAAGGGATCCACCGGCTCTTCTCAGGTACGAAAACGGCTCCACTAATAATGCTGATTTGGAGGGAAGACTGATTGAGAGGGATAACATGTTACTGGTATTGAGAGAGCATATTCACAAGGCACAGCAGGACATGAAGGAGAGGGTTGACGGGCACCGCCGAGATGTTGAGTTTACTGTGGGGGAATGGGTGTACCTCAAGATACGACCCTACCGTCAGCAAACACTTGCACGAAGGCCAATGAGAAACTTGCTGCTCGATTCTATGGGCCTTACGAGGTGGAGAGCAGAGTGGGGCCAGTGGCTTATAAACTGAAGCTACCTGCGGATGCTAAGATCCATCCCACGTTTCACGTGTCGCAGTTGAAGAAGGCCGTAGGGGATTCCATCACTGCTTCACCACTTCCTCCTCAGCTCACAGAAGAGAGGGTTCTGAAAGGGGAGCCCGAGGTAGTTTTGGGGACACGGAAGAACCAGAGCACGGGACAAGAGGAGTGTTTAATCCGCTGGAAAGAGCTTCCTGAATACGAGAACTCGTGGGAATGGAGGGCTAACTTGCAGAAGTGGTATCCGGAGCTTGACCTTAAGGACAAGGTCAGTTTGAATGGAGGGGGTAATGTTACAGATGAGGACCAGAGACCACCGATCCTTTACACATACAAGAGGAGGAATCGTTTAGCTCGGGCCTAGGAGCATTGTTGGGCCTCGCGAGTAGAAGCAGCAAACATTCTAGAAGGAAGGGCGAGGGAATAACTTGGGAAACGAGAAGACACGTGGAGCTGGAAGGTTGGTTCGAGGGGAATAATGCCGCACATGGGAAGTTGCGAAGGATCTCTCGGGATCGGTAAATAGAGGGGGGGGGGGTTTGTTATTTTGGGATCATCAAGGTTGATCATTGAGGAGTGGGGGGGAAAGGGGACTTGTTTTCCTACGGGTTTCTCTTTTTCTCTGTAAACTGTTATCCGATCAATCGCAATAAGAAGAGCGTTATTCAATTGATTCCAGTTACAAAGTTTCAATTACAAATCGTAACATCAGGGCACAAGAGAAAAAAGAGAGTTCGATAAGCAGAAGAAAGAAGAGCAAGTTTTTCCAAGAAAAGAAGATAGATGAGCGAAATTCAAGAAAGTTCATAAGTACATTCCCTTGTTAGTTTCTTATCCAGATTTTACGATCGTTTAGATTCAATCGTTATGAGATTGTAATCGACATGAGCACAAATAATACGAACCTTTTTTTCTCTGAAAAATATGGTTTAAAACGAGTGAGTGGAAAAGTTAATGGTTTCCAGACAACAAAAAGTCAACAAAGTTGTGCTGCTGAGTGCCAATGATGCAAAAGAACATCCGTGGAGAGAGAGAGAGAGAGAGATTCGTTGTTCTCAAAGTCCTCGTCTCTTCCTAAAGAGCTGCATCTTTAATGGCTTCTCATTTGACTCCTTCTTCTTCCTCCAACTCCAAGCGTCAGTTCGACGTGTTTGTGAGCTTCAGAGGCGCGGACACGCGTAATACCTTCACCTCTTACCTTCTTCAGTCCCTGCACTGGAAAGGTATCGATGCTTTCTCCGATGGGAAACTCCTGCGAGGCAAGGACATCTCGCTCGTCTTCGACAGGATCGAGCAGTCGAAGATGTCGATCGTCGTCTTCTCCGAGAACTACGCCAACTCCACCTGGTGCTTGGATGAGCTCTGGAAGATAATGCAGTGCAGGGAGAGATCCGGTCACGGGGTTATACCCATCTTCTACAAAGTCAAGAAATTTGATGTGGAAAATCAGAAAGGGAGCTTTGGAGCTCCCTTCCAAAGCCCTGAGGAGAGTTTCAAGGGAGATGGGCACAAGATCGGGGCATGGAAGGAAGCTTTGAGAACTGCTTCCAATATCCTCGGCTTTGTGCTTCCTGGAGAAATGTACGTTGTAGCAAATCTAGCTTTGATGTCTTTAATTTGTTTTCAGCTTCACTTTCTAACTGTAGACACTTATTTACGGTTGTGCAATTGGGCAGACCGGAGAGTGAATTTATCGAGAAAATAGCCAAGGAGACTTTCAGGATGCTCAATGATTTGTCTCCATGTGAAATCCGCGGTTTCCCGGGGATCGAACCACGTTCAAAGGAACTGGAAGAGTTATTGATGTTTGATAACCCAAACTGTGTCCGTACCATTGGTGTTCTTGGCATAACCGGAATCGGCAAGACAACGGTTGCTGATAGCGTCTACAAACGAAACTGCCGTCGCTTCGATGGCTACTGTTTCGTTGAAGACATTGAAAATGAGTTGAAAAGGCACGAGTTATCTCATTTGCACCAGAAACTCCTCTGCAAGCTGTTGGACGAAGAAGATTTGGATGTGAGAGCGCATGGAAGATTGGAAGAGTTTCTAAGGAACAAGAAGGTGTTGATTGTGCTGGATAACGTGACCGAAGAAAACCAAATCAAACAACTGGTCGGACCGCAGGAGCTGTACCGAAAAGGAAGCAGGATTGTTATAACAACCAGAGACAAGAAGCTGCTGCAGAACAACACTGATGCAACATATTTAGTTCCCAGACTAAATGACAGGGAAGCTATGGAGCTTTTCTGCCTTAGTGCATTTCCTAAAGACACCTACCCGAGGGAAGAGTTTATGGATCTATCAAACCATTTTGTCTATTATGCTAAAGGTCATCCCATAGCTTTGAAGCTGTTAGGTTCAAGTCTATGCCAGAAGAATAAAACATACTGGATGGAGAAATGGGAGAGACTAAGGGTAACACCAGACAAGGAGATTCAAAAGGAGCTGAAAAGAAGCTACGAGGAACTGGATGATGAGCAGAAGCGAATGTTTCTGGACATAGCATATTTTTTCAAGTCGGAAAAAACAGACTTTGTTTCCAGCATCCTGAAATCAGACCGTGGCAATGCAGCCGCTGTGATGAGAGAACTTGAAGATAAGTGCTTGGTGAACATTTCTTATAATCGGCTTGAGATGCATGATCTAATGCATACAATGGGGAAGGAAATCGGATATGAATCATCCATCAGAAGGGCTGGCAAACGTAGTAGGTTGTGGAACCACAAAGATATTCGTTATGTGCTTGAGCAAAAAACGGTGAGCTATATATATCTCATTTATTTGCTCTACGTACTTGATATGGTTCTCTGGTTTGTTTTCTGTTAACCCTTTCCCTGTGTCCTTACTCTTTTGCTCTGGCTAACAGGGGACTGAATGTGTTAGAGGCATCTTCTTGAACATGTCTAACGTCGAAAGGATCAAGCTAAGCCCTGATGTTTTCATGAAGATGTCAAATCTCAAGTTCCTCAAGTTTCACAATTCTCATTGTTCTCAGTGGTGTGATAGTGACCGTAAATTTCAGTTCTGCCAAGGGCTTGATTACTTTCCGGATGAGCTTGTGTACCTTCATTGGCAGGGGTACCCTTACGGATACCTGCCATCAGAATTCAATCCAGAGGAACTTGTCCATATTAACCTGCGATATAGCCACATCAGACAACTATGGGAAGATGAAAAGGTGAATCCTCGGCTATCTTAAAAGATTATTCTTTAGTTTTTTTTCCACTGATTAGTTATTTATTCGTTCTCTATGTGCCACAGAACACAGAAAATTTAAGATAGCTCAACCTCAGTCAGTCAAAAGGCTTGCTGAATCTATCAGGTTTGTCCAAGGCCAAAAATCTCGAAAGACTGGATCTTGAAGGCTGTACGAGTTTGGCTGTGTTGGGCCCATCTATCAAACAGATGAACAAACTTATTTACCTCAACCTCAGAGAATGCACAAGCCTTGAGAGTCTTCCAGAGGGAATCAATTTAAAATCTCTAAAGACCCTGATCCTCAGTGGCTGCTCAAAGCTTCATGAGTTTCATATTATGTCAGAAAATATTGAATCACTTTATTTGGAAGGCTCGGCAATCGAACAAGTTGCTGAACACATCGGTAGTCTTCGCAACCTTATTTTGCTGAATCTCAAGAATTATCGCAGGTTGAGGTATCTTCCCAACGATCTTTACAAACTGAAATCTCTTCAAGAACTGATTCTCTCTGGCTGTTCAGCGTTGGAGTGTCTTCCACCCATCAAAGAGAAGATGGCATGCTTAGAGATATTGCTCATGGATGGAACGTTCATCAAACAGACACCTGAAACGATTTGTTTGAGTAACCTCAAGGTGTTTTCGTTTTGTGAATCTAGCATCGAAGATTCCTCAGGGTTGGTATTGTTGCCTTTCTCAGGCAGCTCTTGTGTATCGGACCTTTATTTCACCAATTGCAATATCAACAAATTGCCAGAAAACATTAGCTCCTTACATTCATTGCGGTGTTTATGCTTAAGCAGAAACAATATTGAGACTCTACCTGAAAGCATCGAGAAACTTTATTCTCTGTTGTCGCTTGACTTGAAGCATTGCCGCAAGCTCAGTTCTCTCCCGTTGCTTCCATCTAATCTACAGTACTTAGATGCTCATGGGTGTGTTTCTCTGGAAAAAGTTGCCAAACCAGTGACGCTTCCCCTAGTAACTGAGAGGATGCATACTACTTTCATATTCACGGATTGCTTCAAACTGAACAGAGCTGAACAAGAAGGTATTGTAGCTCAGGCCCAACTCAAGAGTCAGCTACTGGCAAGGACATCTCTTCAACATAACCACAAGGTCCATTTTCAATTGTACTCTCTCGTTCTGGTTATAACTTGATCATTCGCTCATGTTTGTATGGTTTCCAGGGAGTAGTTCTAGATCCTCTGGTAGCCGTTTGCTTTCCAGGAAGTGACGTACCCTCATGGTTCTGCCATCAGAGAATGGGATCGTCGATAGAAACCGACCTGCCTCCACACTGGTGCAACCGTAAATTTATTGGAGCTTCCCTGTGTGTCGTTGTCACCTTCAAGGATCATGAAGGTCAACATGCCAACCGTTTATCTGTAAGATGCAAGTGCACTTTCAAAAGTCAAAACGGTCAGTCCATCAGCTTTAGTTTCTGTCTTGGGGGATGGAACGAGTCATGTGGATCATCTTGCCATGAACCACGGAAACTTAGATGTGACCATGTGTTTATTAGTTATAACAACTGTAACGTACCACTCTTCCAATGGAGTGAAGAGAGTGATGACGGTAATAGATGTCGTCCCACTAGTGCCACGTTTGAATTCTACCTTACTGATGACACTGAAAGAAAACTAGAATGCTGCAAGGTGATAAGGTGTGGGATGAGTTTGCTGTATGCTCCGGATGAGAACGACCGTGGATTCAAGGAATACGGGCTACAGATATTGCTGAGCGTACACCGAGTGAGGCTTTTGTGCCCGTGCGAGGTTGGTCCCACTCACAAGTTGGAGAAAGAAGGAATGGTATAACAAGAGATGAAATCCCCTTATGAGTGTCTTTCTCTAAGACTGGAGGTCCTTGGTCGTAAAACCTACGAAAGGTAGAAGAATGCTTACTGGTAACTTCTTTGTTCTTGACTTTCTCTTGAAGCTTTTCATAAGTATATGTTTTTTTTTTTTGTGTGCAAACATAAGTATATGTTAAAAACACAATTTACATTGAAATATGAACTTGATTGCTTTTCAGATCCTCTGGTGCGTCGAAGGAGGTTTCTTATCCTTGGATGTGACCGGGTCGTTGCCATTTGAAGATGTTTGATGAAGTGGCCACGGTAGAAAACAGAGTATTCTCTCTGTTTCTTCCTTTGCACGGCATGTATGCTCAGTTGCTTGATTTTCGTAGACCCACTGTTCCCCGAAGGTTCTATGGTTTTATAACGTATATCTTCTCAAAATTGGAGGAGAGATCCAGATTCTTGGGTGATGGCCATCTTGAGAGACATCCAGATTCTTGGGTGAATACTCCAAGAACTTGCCCTCATTGTGGAAACTTTGAAACTTCCACTCATCTCTTCTTTCATTGCCCATTCGCAACCCAGGTTTGGCTTCAAGCTCCAATCTGCAATCTGTTCCTACCGGACAGAATTGAAAGCTTTAGACAAGGTATTGAAGCCGCGAACAAGCAAATAAACCTCCCACCATTGGGTTTGACTCAAGGACCAGTAGAAACAATAATATTTTCGAAAGAAGAAGCATCTCACCCGAAGAATGTCTACTCCATGGATTACTCCTTGCTCGTTAATGGCAAGCAGCACAAACGCCAAAGATAAAAGCCCCTAAAGGGAGGAGTCAGATCATACCCAAACCAAGGGATCTCGACACAATTCGGTGCATGACTGATGCAGCTTGGAAGGTAGAATGAAACACCACAGAATTTGGATGGATTTTCATCTCCAACTCCACATCTAGGATCCAGAAGGGATCAGCATCGGCTGATTTCATCGGCTCTCCCCTAATGGCAGAAGCAGTGGTGATTACTCTTGCTCTTCAACACGCCAAAAGGATTGGGATTCGCAAAATTACAGTATCTTCTGATTCACAGAAGGTGATCAGATCCATCAAAGCGGAGACTCGATTCAAAGAGCTCCATGGAATCATTCATGTTATCCACGATCTATCGTCTTCTTTCGATTGTTGTTCTTTCAGTTTCATCTCAAGAGATGTAAATGCCTTAGCCGATGCTTTAGCTAAACAGGCGCTTGCATCTGGTTGTACCAACCCGGTTTAATACAATTAATGAAGAAAAACTTTGAACAAAAAAATGAAGAGGAAGAACTTTGTCCCTAAATATTTGTTGTCCTCGGGAAGTAGTAGTATAAAAACAGAATATAAACATTAAGGAGAGCAATTTCCTTGTTTTTCGGAGAAAGTGGAGAAAGAGATAACTATAATTGATGGTGGAGAATAAATATTACATGTGCAACTTCTAATTTTAATATAATACACAAATTTTTTTTCTTTAATTCATATTAAAGAAAAATTAGCTTTAAAAGAAGAATAATAAAAGTGAATTAGAAAATAAGAAATGATACATGTCAAACTCATAATTGATAACTGACTTGTGCTTTATAAATATAAATATTATTTTTTCTATAATAGTGATGGGTTCTCTTTTACCACGACGAATTTTGAGGCAATATGTGGCTATTGGACTTTGGCAGATCGCTGACCTTCTTCCACTAGGTTTGCTACCAACTTCCTAGCAAACTGTTCTTGAGGTGATGGCATGCTTACCAAATCAGACGTGTTGTACTATATCATCTCACGGCATACCGCACAAATACGACAGAACATGGGAGACAGGATATAAAAATATGTATAAGACCAAAGGAGAAAGAAGGTAAATCCTTAGAGGTTGGATCTTTAGATCTAGAAAGTGCCATATTAGGACGAATCTAAGAAAGAGAGGGAGAGAACGAGATTCACCTAAAAGAGGAGGAGGGGAATACCTCTAATCTCGACCCCACCAGAGCTCGCCTCGAGCTCCACGCCACATCAATACTAAAAGGGAATGTCCACCGTTTCCTGGAGGAAACGCCTTCCAAGATAAGGGTTCTTTTCACTTCCTATTCTTTATCATATATGCTTGCTGAGAGAGTTTCTACCTCACTCTCTTCGCAGACCATCCCTTACACTTTTCAATCCACTAAACACTAGACGGATATTACGATCCTTGTACGGATGTCCAACCCTTTACCACCTCAAAACTTACTTTCTCGAGCACTTGTTCTCAGTAGGGTGTGCAGTAACTTGAGAGTTAGAGAACTTTAGGGAGTGAACCTTTGTAGGTCAACTCGGAGGCCTGATTCACTCCTTTGCCCATGTATGAATGACTCGCTAGACTTCTACTCTGCAACCACGTACCGCTCATTCCCAGAGGACAAAACTCAAAAACACAACTTTATACTCTCGGACGATCATATATTCTTAATAGGCATCCTGAAATTTACTCATGAACAAATAAAGATGAAATTTTTTATTTGTAAATTAATCATTTAATATTTAAATATTTTACTTTTATTTATATAAATATAAAGAAATTTAATTAACTATTTACATATTTTTTTTATAAATTTAGCGATTAATCATATATCTAACACATATAATATGATTAAATATATAATATAAAATTTTGAAAATATATAATATAATTAGGTATAATAATTATTTTTCATTTCAAAATTAACTATATATAATTCTATAAACTAAAGTATATTATGTTTTATATTTTTATATATAATTTAATATTATATTTTAAAAAAAAATGTTTAGCATTAATATAATTATAATATATGAGTTTTTTTGTATAAGCTAAAATAAGTGTTGCTAATTTATAAAAATTATAAATAAAAAGTATTACTAATAAATTATAAAGAAAATATTGTTTTTTCAGAAAAATGGAAGTATACAGTAAAACCTCTATAAATTAATAATGTTGGGAATCTCAAATTTTATTAATTTATAGAGTTATTAATTAATCGATAAATTAATAATTATTAATTTATCGATAAATTAATATTTTATTGATTTATAGAGATATTTTGAGTTTGAATTTTTAATATCTATCAAAAAAATAAAATGAATATTTTCAACAATGTAAAATTCATTCAAAAATGTCATAATAATGAATTTAAAAGATAAATCAAACAAATTTTTTAAACTTGAAACAACAATATTATCATAGTTTACTATATTATATTATTAATATATGTCTAAATGTATAATTATTAATTTATATTACTGTTGGGATCAAATTTTTACTTATAAGTTTCAAAAAAAAGTATTATCTTATTATCTTATCGAATTTTGTCAATTTTTACACTAGCCTGATTTAAAACCAGCAAAAATTATTAATTTATAGTGATTATTAATTTATAAAATATTAATTTATAAAGGTTTTACTGTACATTGTAAAGAAATCCATCTTTATTTTAAAGTTTTTTTTGGAAATGGTAACAACTAAAAAAGTTCTCCCCTCTTTGGGTTGTTTTTAAAACATAGGTCTTAGATATTTTTCAACAAAACGACGATATACACTTCTATATCTAGCTAGTTGGCGCGTGTTTCCACGTCTCTCGTCCGATCTCTCGTCTGCTTCATTCTCTGTTGCTGGAACTGGCATGTCCCTCCTCGCTGGAACTGGCATGTCCATCGTCGCTGGAACTGGCATGTCCATCCTATATAGACGTAATTCTTTGGCTTTTGGTAAGTTAATGCCTACCTTAAGCTCTGAGCAGTCGGACAGATCAAGAAATTCTAGGAGATTCAAGTTCTGCATTCCTTCTGGCAGGTGTCTGAGCTTTTCGCAATTCTTCAAATCTAGCCTAGCAAGGTCAGCAAGATCCCCAATAGACGACGACAATTCTCGAATGGCAGTCCCACCAAGATATAACTCCTTCAGATTTTGAGGGAAACCATCAATATCCTCCAGCTCCGAGCAGCCAGACAGATTCAGTGTAACAAGAGATATCATGTTACTCACGGCTCCCCCCATTTGCAGATGCTTAAGCCTCTTGCAATGCTCCAAGCATAATACCACCAGCTTAGAGAGATTCTTGAGCAACGATGGTGGAAATGCTTTTACCGCGGTGCGGGCCAGATATAACTCTCTGAGGTTTCTTGGGAGATCTTGAATATCCTCAAGTTCTGAACAGCCTGACAGTTTCAGCGTGGCAAGAGACTTCATGCTACCCATTCCGATTGGCAGGTGTCGAAGCCTTTTGCAATCCTCCATATTTAGTATGACAAGTTCAGATAGATGGTGGCATGTGATTTCTCTTATGTCAGTCTTGGCCAAAGATAACTCTTTCAAGTTTCGTGGGAAACCTTGAGTCTCCTCAAGTTCGGAGCAACCAGACAGATCAAGAACTTGAAGAGACTCCAAAGTAATCATGTCAGGCAGACTTCTCAAATGAGGACAGTCTTTGAGCTGAAAGGAAACGAGCTTGCCAAGATCTTGGCTAGAGAAGCTATTCACCTCATTTGTCAATTCTTGAAGATTCTCCGATGAATGATTCAATATCCCTTGGAGATGCAATTTCCTAATAGACGGTGGAACCTTTGGAAAACTTCTGATTGAGAGTTTCACAACTCGGAGATGTTTCGATTGACGCATGTCCGGAAAACCCTGCAGACCTAAACACCCCCTGAGATCAATTTTTTCGATATTTCGAGAATGCTGAAGCTCATCAACGTTAACTAGTTGTAGGGAATGGCTGAGCGTGATCCTCTTCAACACCTCAAGACTCTGAACAAACAAACAAAAATAAAATCAAGAAAGGAGTAGAGTAGAAACGAATTCGCCGATCTGATAAACTATATGTGTGTTGATGTGCTGCATGCTAACCTTGGTTCCTCCCCAAAGCTTCTCAAGTTTACTGTATGGCATATTGAGTTCCACAAGATACTGAACATCAAGATCTTGTGGAAATGATCTTGAGGGGTAATTTTCCCAGTGGAGTAATCTAAGCTCGGGGGGCAGAGATTGAGCGTCCTCATGAAGGCCAAATTTAGTATCCTTTGTACGATGGGAATTGTAGATCTTGAGATATCTAAGGTCATACATATGTTGGAACGCAATATGACCTTTAAATGCTAAGTTAGATGTGTCCAAGATTATGGCTTTGTTTTCGTCATTTCCCTGGTAGGATAAGAGAAGAAAAATAAGAGGAAATTCGAAAAATTGTTAGTTCCTCCAAATATAAAGAAAGATCAGAATGTGAAAAACCTATAGTACCAGCTCGGGTGTTGCTTTGGGCGCTCCATTCTCTCCGATCTCATAATCTTGTATGAGAGATTGAATGTTGGAAGCGTCAAAGAATCCATAACCCACCCCGTTCTCTTCTGTTTGATCCCTGATGATTTTGAGGCTAGTGTCAATGATCAAGTTATGCGTTGGCAATCTTTTTCCTGAAACAGTCACCAAACTTTTGTCCACAAGAACATCGATCCCAATACGTGGAAAGAAGCCACACCCTGCAAGCGATTGAACCACATCTTCGACCTTTTCTCCCCTAAAGAAAAACGCAATGTGCAAAAAGATTTCCTTCTCGCTGTCACTAAGTGAGTCATAGCTGCTCTTGAACACATCAAAAAACTTTTCGGATAAATGCTGCTTGAGTTTGAGGACTGTGCTCTCCATTCCTAATCGTGCTTTACACTCCAATTCTCTACTACAAATGCTGAGAGCTAACGGGTTTCCATTCGCATAGTCAACCAAATCCTTAGACAGCTTACTCAGGAGATTCTGATCTGGTTTATCTTTCCCAAACGCACACCGAGAGAAGAGCTGCAAAGCCTCGTGCTCGTTTAAGCCTTGAACCTCATAGATTTCGTTGACCCGACACTGGACAAGGACTTGTTTATCTCTGGATGTAATGATTATCAAACTTCCAGCACCAAACCAGTCAAACCCGCGAAGAAACTTCGTTGCACCCAGTGGCTTGCACACATTATCGAGAACAAGAAGAATTTTTTTATGGCGTATTTTGCCTCTTGTAATGCCACTGGTTATGCCAAGCTTTTTCCCCAAGTGTTCCTCCAGCAATCCGTAGACTCCCTTCTCCTGAAAGGCATTGTCAAAATCTTTGATGAAGCAAGAAGCTTCAAACTTACCCGAGAGTAGTTGCTCGAAAGCTGCTTCAGCAAGTGTCGTCTTCCCTATGCCTCCCATACCCCAAATCCCTAAGCTGCGGATGGCCCATGGTTGCTTGCAGATCATGTTTTCTATCTTCATCAATCTGGAGTAGACTCCAATTTTACCCGTCAGATCAAGCTTTTGACGTACATCCGCAACAATCTCCTCTACAAGTTCTGAGTCGCTGCATTTTAATAATAGAGTCTTTTTAATATCTTGTTGGAATCCACGGCACTGCTTCCGTTAACGTATCCAATTATCGTTTTTTTTTCCCTTGTAAACAAATGTTTTTTTTTTCTTTTTGACTAAATTTGGAATGTTTTATGTGGCAGCAATCCAGAATAAACTTTGAACGAATGTTTATGTGACAGTAATCCAGAATAAAACTTTAAAATCGGTCCAAAAGAGTAACTTATCGGATGGATATTTCATTTTACTTCATTTTTTTTTTCTTCTAACGGTTGAATGTCCATCAATGAGAATCTAAACTACAATAATCATTTGACCCAAAAAAACTACGTACGATAATCAGCGAATGTCCGGTGGAAATGGAGTACTAAACCGTGGTACATATGAGCAGAGCCTTCCCCTACTTAGTTTTTAGAAACTCTCGCCAATGTGTTATGGCATCGACTGTTAATATAGGATTAGAATGGCAAGCACATGCGTAAGTTTCATATCTTGTTTATAGGTAATAATAATGTTTTTTGCTAATAATAATTAGAATGGCAAGCACATGCGTAAGTCTCACCACATCCTTCGTTTTTCTTTAATCATCATATCTATTACTAATAAAAGTTGATGCTAAATGCTTTTAAGGGTGTCCACATATGATTTAAAGATTCAATTCTATTAGTACACATCATCATTATTTTTAGTTAATTATATATTATATATTAAAATTAATTAATTCGTTTTAATTGTTATAAGGAAAATTTCTAAATTTTAATTAATTTTGTTTTTGTTGTTATTAGGAAAGTTTCTAAATTTTAAGTTAGTCATTAATAAAAAAGAGTTTTGAAAATAGATCTTATTTTTCTATAAACAATAAAAGGTAAATTGACATATAAATAGATTATGAAAGAAAAATCATATATATTGAACAAAATTATTAAAAACTGTATTTAAGACTATAATTAAATTATTTTATAATTTTAATCACAACAAACAATTAAAATCTGAACTGCTAACTTAAAATATATTAGTTGTGGTCCGTGTTGATGTCTTAGGCCAATGAGAGCATCCACGTATGACATATATACTCAATCTGATTAGTCTATATCAGCGTTTTTTATTAAACATGAAAAATAAAAAAATATTATTAATAATTTAAATAAATTAAAACATACAAAAATATAAAATTATCACAATAGAATAGAAAATTAAAATAATTTTTTTAACTAAATAAAATAAATTTATGTCAAAAGTCTAATCTATTGTGAAAATAAAATGGAAACTCATTGTCACAAAAACTAAACTAACAAAAACAAATATGTAAGTCAATAACAAAAAAGTTACATTAAAAAAAGAATATATATTTTAAATGAGTAATTTATTTAGAAAAAAATATTAAGATTAAATTTTCATATAAACATATAAAATTGTTATTTAAAAATAACAATACTACCAAAACAAATTCATCTTAAATTATCAAAAAAAAAGTCATCTAAAACTTATAATTTTGGGGAAAATATTTTAAAAATTAACACAAAAATCTTAACAAACCAAAAATGATACTTTATGCTAATTACTAAATAAAGTAATATAAAAAAATGTTTAACTAACAAAAACCAAAACATAAATTATTTCTTACAACATGTCAATACAATTAAAATGAAAGTCCATATCGAGAAAGTTAAATTAACAAAAAGAGGATATTAACTTAATATCTATGTTATTTATTTAAGAAAATCAATATAAACAGAATAAGTAAAAGAATAAAAAACTTAAATAATACTAAAAAACTTAACTAACAAAAATAGTATAAATATTTAAGCCAATTATTTAAGAAATCAATATTAAGAAATTAATTAACTAAAAAACTAAAACCAAAATTAAGTTTTACAAAATATTATTTTTAAAAAAACACTTAAAATATATTGAGTTGATATCTGACTAACTACTTCAAAAATTCATATAAAATATTTAACTAACAAAAAATTTATGTCTTCAAAATATCAATATTTTAAAAGCAATGGTGTGTTAAAATAAAATAAAAATCAATATCAAGAGAGGTAAATTATCAAATAAAAAAGTCGTATAAAGTAAATTTAGCTTGATATTTAGGCTAACTACCAAACAAATTTTAACTAAAAAAACAAATGATGGTATAAGTTTTTGAGAGAAGTTCACTTAAAATTTAGAATAACCAGTTATGGCATGTCAAAATAGCATTTTAATTAATTTAAAAAATAAATTTAGCAAAGAAAAAGCATTTATATAAAATATATTAGATTAATATATATGCTACCTATTTGAAAAATCAATAAAAAAATAGATTAATTAAAAATATATATGTTTTAAGTATATCAAACCTGCAGAAAATTAGATAGTTAAAATAAAATATAAAATTACCATTGAAGATATTTAAAATAACAAAAAATAAGATCTAAGAAAAAAAATTAGTTTGAAATATAGTTCCAAAAACATTCATGATTTCTAAAGTATTGGTGTTGACTATGAATAACCATATAAAGTTTTAATAGGTTTTACAAGTTTCTAAATCAAACATATTATTTAAATTTACAAAGATTAATACCTTGGTTGCGTCTGGTTGAAAAATTAACAAAGTAAAATACTACACAAGTAACTTTACATTCAAAATATAATAAATAATAAAGTCTGATTTGTATACATATTTACTGCTTATAACTTAGTCAACATGAACAACAATGAGCAACATCCTCTAAAATTTTATTTAAATAATATAATATGATAAAGTTATGAATCAAATTCAAATGGGAATATATGAAAAAAAATAAAATATTCAAAATAAAATATTCAAATCAAAACATGAATAAACACACAAAATGTTTTAAAAAAACAGTGAATAATGTGAAGTCTCAACATCATCTTACATGTTTAAAAATAAATATTAGCAAATAGTTGACTGCAAATAAAACAGATCTTATAAACTGAATAGAGATATAACCTAAAATTTGTAGAAGATCTGGTGGAGAAGCAAAATGTAGCTTTACACGATAAGTATAGCTTACTAACAAAAGTAAATCTGAATCAACATATATCATATATTATATATGTATATGTACACAACATTAATGAGACATTTAGTAAAGAAATTAAATATTTAAACATATAAATTTTTTTTTAAAAAGAACCATAGAAATCCTAAGGATACAAAACAAAACACCAAAAATGTAGTAAGGAAAACATTTTCTAAGTCAAACATATGCACATCGAAGTTGGATAATTCGTTAGGTGTTATTATTATGATTTTACTTATTAAGATTTATAATTTTATAAACAAAAATAGGAAATACTACATATTATGTTTTAATTTTTTATATAAAAGAAATTTTTTACAAATATATTATAGTTTTGATAATTTAAAAGATATTAACCCAAAAATTAAACCAAATTATTAATATAGACTCGCGCGTAGCGCGAGTTAAAAGCTTAATAATATATAAAAATTGAGGGCATAGTGCATTGAGGACGTCTACATAGGACGAAGAAACTCGATATGCTTGGTCCACATCATCGTTTTTCATTAATCACAAAAATGTTAAGTATAATTTGGATGGAAAAACTTGATTTAATTGGTCCACATCAACTTTTAAATCAAACCAAGAATTATTAAGTAAAATTAAAACATTAAAAGTTAATTTAATAAATTATGTCCAACAAAAAAAGTTAATTCAATCTGATTGATCCAAATAAACATATTTATTATATCAGAAAATGTTAATATGTTTAAAATTTTAAAAGTTTAATAATTTTTTTTGTGAAATATTTTTTTTAAAGGTTAAAAATTCAATACATGTATAAAAAAATCAACCATTATCAATTATCAATTTAAAAAAATCTACAACATATAAAATAAGATATTACTATTTTTGTGATAATATAGTAGACATTCGAGATATTCAATAATATATAAAAAAATTAATTCTTCTTATTTAAAAAAATTGGGCTTAATTATTTATTAGTTCCAAGCCCATAGAAACAAGAAAATCTCAATCACAAAAATGTTAATTATGATTAAGACAGAAAAACTTGATTTAATTGGTCCACATCAGCTTTTAAATCAAACCAAAAATTATTAAGTATAATTAAAACAATAAAAGTTAATTTAACAAATTATGTCCAACAAAAAAATTAAAACCAATCTGATTGATCTAAATCAACATATTTATTAAATCAGAAAATGTTAATATAGTTTAAAAATTTAAAAGTTCAATAAAAAAATTACAATACATGTATAAAAAAATAACCATTATCAATTATCAATTTTTAAAAAATCTACAACAACTCGATTTAACAATTAAAACAATGAAAACTGAATAATCATGTAATATATAAAAGTTGATGGCATAATGCATTGAGAGCGTCCACATGAGATTAAAAAACTCAATCTGATTGGTCCACATCAGCATATGCATTAAATAAAAAAATGTTAAGTATGATTAAGACAGAAAAAGTTGATTTAATTGGTCCACATCAGCTTTTAAATCAAACAAAAAAATATTAAGTATAATTAAAACATTAAAAGTTAATTTAACAAATTATGACCAACAAAAAAAAGTAAATTCAATCTGATTGATCCAAATAAATATATTTATTAAATCAGAAAATGTTAATATGGTTTAAAATTTAAAAGTTAAATAAAACAATTAACCATTAACAATACATGTATAAAAAACAAATAACCATTATCAATTATCAATTTTTAAAAATCTACAACAACTCGATTTAACAATTAAATCAATGAAAACAGAATAAAAATATAACATAAAACTCTTGGAAGACATGATGGAGAAGGAAAAAATAGTTTTGCATGATCATTACAGCTTCCTAACAAAATTAAATGCGAAGCCACATGAATCATGTATTATATATGCAGTGGTACACAATATCAATAAGACTTTCAATAAAAAAAAACTAAATATTTGAACACATAAACGGAACCTTCAAGAAAAAAAGAACTATAGAAATTCTATGGAAAACAGAAAATAATATCAAAATTTTAGCAATATTATATTTCTCTAAATCAAATCTATATGTACGTCAAAGTTGGATAATTCAGTAGGTCTCATTGTTATTATTTTACCTAATAGTTTTTTAAAATTTAAAAATAAGAATAGGATAAATGATACATTATATATTAAATTATCTTATATAAATAAAACTTTATGTAAATATATTATATTTTTAATAATTTTAAAGAGAGTATCTAAAAAAAATTAAATCAATATATTAATACAGACTCGTGCATAGCGCGAGTTATATACCTAGTATAATATATAAAAGTTGATGGCATAGTATATTGAGGACATCCACATGAGATTAAAAAACTCGATATGATTGGTCCACATCAGCATATTCATTAAATAAAAAAATGTTAAGTATGATTAGGACAGAAAAATTTGATTTAATTGGTCCACATCAGCTTTTAAATCAAACCAAAAATAATAAAGTATAACTAAAATATTAAAAGTTAATTTAAAAAATTATGTCCAACAAAAAAAGTAAATTCAATCTGATTGATCCAAATCAACATATTTATTAAATCAGAAAATATTAATATGGCTTAAAAATTTAAAAGTTAAATAAAAAAATCAACAATTAACAATACATGTATAAAAAAATAACTATTATCAATTATCAATTTAATAAAATCTATAACAACTCGATTTAACAATTAAAACAATGAAAACTGAATAAAAATATAACCTAAAACTTTTGGAAGACATGATGGAGAAGGAAAAAATGGTTATGCATGATCATTACAGCTTCCTTACAAAATTAAATGTGAATCAACATGAATCATGCATTATATATACAGTAGTACACAACATCAATAAGACTTCCAATAAAAAAATTAAATATTTGAACACATAAACCTTCAAGAAAAAAAGAACTATAGAAATTCTATGGAAAAAAGAAAATAATACAAAAATCTTAGCAATATTATATTTCTCTAAATCAAATGTATATGTATGTTAAAATTGGATAATTCGATAGGTGTCATTGTTATTATTTTACCTAATAGTTTTTAAAATTTTTAAAATAAAAATATGATAAATTACATATTATATATTAAATTCTCTTATATAAATGAAATTTTTTATAAATATATATAATTTTTTAATAATTTTAAAAATAGTAGCTAAAAAACATAAATCAAAATATTAATACAAACTCGCGGGTAGCGCGAGTTATACACCTAGTACAATTTAAAAGTTGGTGCCCTAACATCTAATATTTTTTAGAAATTTCAGTATATGGATTCAAATAATTTGACAATTAACTGATATGATTTTTTTTTTCTTGTTTTGTTACTCTTCATCCTAAAAAACACAAATACTTTTATTCAATACCCAATAATTTCTGTTGTTATCTACATATGCCATCTGCAAGTAGAGAGTTTCCAGTTTTAAAAAATAAACAATTTATAAATACACATTAATAATTATGGTGATGGAGAAAGATGGTGGTGATGGAAATGAAAGATGGTGGTGAAAGATGATGGACGACATTAACAATAACGTTAGCAATAATATTGATAACAGTTAATTAAATAGTTATTAAAATAATTTTGCATAACTTATAAAGTTAATTCATATTTTTTTATGAATTAATTACAAAGTTAGCATGATAGTTATCATGCTCACAAAGTTAATACGATAATTTTTTGATATATTAACATTATTAATATGATAATTTCATTTTTTTATTATATGATAAATGGGTTAACTTAATATTTATACAATATGCTAATTAAGTATTATATTAGTTAGCATAATAATTAATAATTATCACAACATTATATTAGTTTCCAAAAAATCATAACTTCAGTATGTAATTATTACATTCTACTTTTAAAATTTCATCATTATCTGATGGGTTAAATTAAAATCACCCAATTTTTTCCCAATATTTGAATTGTTTATTGCTTTTCTTTTTTTATCTTTGTTTATCGCCCATTCGATCGTATTTTCTTTCACTAGTAGTTTCTCTTCTTTTCTTTTTTCATTTTACCAACTTTTTATTTTTCTATTCATTTATTTTTTCAATAAAATTACATTATTTATATTACAGATTTTTTATAAAATAAGATTTGTATATTGATTATAAAATCATTAAAACCTTAATTTATTTTATATTTTTATCATTATTTATTTATTTAAATACATGTTTAACTTTTTATAAGAAAGTTAAATAAAGAGTTTTGAGTAATAAAACTCTTCAACTAATTATGGATTATAATAAAACCTCTCAATTAATAACTTAGTTATAAAACACTCAAGTTTATGTTCGTTAATGTCAATCCCCCGCCGTCTACAATATCGTGAAAATAGAACGGAACCCGGTTAAATCTAAATGCTGTGTTTTATATAAATGGAAAATGACATGTTTTTTTGTAAACCATTGGAAACGTTATCTTTAAAGAGATTGAAAAATCTCCAAATTGAAATTTAGGATTCTTCATCCATCACTGCTGCTGAAGCTCAATTATTTGTAATCATCTTGCAAGCTCCAGTCGCATCCATTTTCTTTCAATCAACTTTGCTGGATTTCTAAACTTCTAAAGGTGTTCTTCCAATTCTTTAGATTTTTTCTCAAACTTGAAGTTATGGATTGAAGAATTCACTCTCAATCTTACCAAGACATCGAACCCACTGAAACTTCAGAGAATATCACTTTCAGAAGTTTGGGTTCGTTAATTTAGATTTTGCTTTGTGGATTTTAAAATCCTTGATAAATTTGGGGATTTTGATTCAGGTTTTAAACATCCTGCTGTTTTGTTCACAAGTCATGTTGTTATAATAGACATAAAACTTGTTTTCTATTCATATAAAACGCAGCGTTTGGATTTAATAGATTCTGTTCTGTTTTAGCATTACTATAGACAGACAGGAATTGACATTAACGAACCGAAACTTGAAGAGTTTTATTACTTAATTAATAATTGAGAGGTTTTATTACGTTACTTCTTTAGTTAATGAATTTTATTACGATACTTCTTTACTAAAACACTTTAAATAAAATATCTTGTATTAAAAAACAAAAAAGATGCTTATATGTAGAATTACCTTAGCTCAAGAGATGATGCGTGGCCTGGCAAGTCTGCGATTTCCAATAGAGCCTGACGCCATTCCGTTACCCGATCGTCAGGATACATCTTGTTCAATTTCAAACATTGTTTCCTCAATTCCGATTTCGTTAGTCCATAGAAAACTGGAACCACCGCGAAGCCGTTGCGACCCCTGGACTCGAAAATCTTCACCAGTTCATCCAAACACCCCTTGGAAGAAGCGTATTTCTCAGATAAAATCACCAGAAAAGCCTTAGACTCGGATACCCCGACATGGTCACTTCCAGGATCCTGGAAAGAGATGCTTTTGCGGCGAAACTCAGAAAGTATATGGCTAAGAAATGAGTGCCTTATGGTGTCCTCGCACATGTTGAAGCTGATGTACACGGCGTGTCCGTCGACCATCATTCACGAGCTGTCCGGTGGCCCAAAAATATTTCAAATTTTGTGTCAAAAAAGAAAAAACTTATACGCTCTACAAGATGGATTGACCGAAACCAAATGGAAGATAAAAAATGTATGAATCGGAAGAAGAGAGTAATTTGGTCGTCACAATTAATCTCTTTGAGTATTATTAGAAGTAGGACATATATAGCATAAACGCAAATTTCTATAACAAGTATTTGTCAAGGAAAAGGACAGTCCTTTTTGTTGCACGATAATTGAGGGTTGATTTCAATCAAATTACAACAAACCATTGATGCACGATAATTGAGGGTTGATTTAAGGGAAATTGCAAAATATACCCTTTAATAGTTCATAAATTAAGTGACAAATTCTAACACATTTTCATCAATATTGTTCATGTCAAAAAGACAATTACATTTTTTAAACAAAAAACATAAAAGAAAAAGAAACAAGATAATAACGATAATAGTAATGTTAGTAGTAAAAATATTAATTACAGTGATGGTGATGATAAAAATAATGGTGGTGGCGTAATATATTGGCGATGGTAATGATAATAATGTCAGCTGCAGCGATAATAACGCTGTTTGACAGTAATAATATTGATTATTAAGATTATCAGAATAATTTCACTTAACTTGTAAAATTAAAAAATTTAGATAATTAATAATTTCTATTTTTCATGAAATGATAATAAAATTAGCAGGACTATTATCACAATAATAAGTTTAACACAATTAATGATAACAATATTATTATGATAATTTCATATTTAATTATATAATGATTCAATTAATTCAATATTTGGTAATTGAGCTTGGTAATCAATAATTATCAAAATATTAATTAGTTAGCGTGATAGTTAAATAGTTATTCAATAAAATCACATCAAATAATTTTAAGAATAAAAAGTAATAATTCTGTATTAAACTACTTTTTAATTATTACATTCCATTTTTAGTTTAAATATTATTTGTAAATTTTAATTAAAATCACCTTTGAGTTAATAACATTTTTTCAAATCAAAACTCAATCCACTGTATGTAACTACTCTTACTTTATCATTAGAATATGTTTCTCTTTTCATATCTTTTAATTGATAACAAATGTCTTATCTTAAACTTGTTTTAATTTAAACTTTTTGATTAAAATAAAATATTTATAATATTTACTTTTTTTACCAAGTTAATATTTGTACTTTTAATATTTTAACTCTTGATAAAAAATACTTTTAACATTTTATTCAGTTTAAATATTAATAGTATTTGATTTAACTATACTATTCTATTAAAAATATTTATGAATTTTGATACCTATTAAATCTAAATTTTTCTTATGGTTTCTTATAATGTTGGTTCAGTTTTATAAATTTAGACCCATTTTCCTTTGCGATGTGAGATTCCAAGACATACTCGTGGTTGTCCTGGCATAATAAGTGTCCGAATAAATTCAGCTAAACAAAATAATTTACAATCTGCTTACAAAATATTTGACGTGGCATAATTGAAGGAATAAATTCAATAGATCATTTTGCTTATCTGAAATTATTACAACACTTACACCACGTCAAATCATTGTTTCAAATGAATTGTTTTTGTTCTTCTTTTGAAAGGTAAGGGTTAAATTCTTACACTAATAAATCAGGATTTTTTAGAAAATTTTGGTGGAACAGCAGGGGTCTAATTTGCAATTAATAAAAATAATGAATTTCTACGAAAACTTCAACATGATATAATTATACATTTTTTGTAAAATATAGTAATAATTATACTTTTCGCACCTCTCAGTCTATCATTTCGTGGCAGTTTCATTAGTTTCAAAAGACTAAACATATTGATAACGAAAATTTAATGCTGTATGGCCGCACAATAAGAGTGGACCTTCACGAATATTTTGTCGACAAATATAGTTGCAACTACTCCTATCTTTTTTTTCTAGGTGATTTTGACTCTTCCGACACGTCCTTTCTTATTGTTGGAAATTTCTTTCTTTTTTTTTGAACATTTGCTTGGAATATTCTGTTTTAATAACCAAATTTTTATTTTTAAAAGAAACTTCCACAATAATATTTCTATGGTTATATATTTTCTCAGATTTATCCACGTTGTTGTTTTTTCTTCAATCAAACATCTTTGTCAAAATCAACAAAATGGTAATGGTCTTATAGTAATACAAATGGTTAGTTTTCTTATGTCCCGATTTAAAACTCCCTTTAAAACAAAAATATATTTTTTAAACTTGAATATAGAACGAGTTAACTAGCTCTATGTATTAGGAAAAACTGTAGACGTAAAGTTTGGAATTACAAGTCAATGGTTTGAAATCAAAATACTTTTTTTTCTTGAGTATCTTCAGGTTTATAAATTAAGATACACTTTCATATTTTCAAAATCAAAATACTATTGTTTTTTCCGTCTAAATTTTTTTTTTTGAATTTAAACTGTAAAACATAACAAACAATCTCACTTTTCTTTTTTGTATCCACAGTTCTGCACCTACGATCTACCAAATTTAACTTCCCATTTTTACCACTCATCATCTTCATCTTATCTAAGTTTTCTATATATTTATAAGCATTTTTAAACTCATATTTCAGAAATAAACACTTTCAGCAATTAAAACATTTTTATCCATGTAAATGACACTATCAGCATTCACTAACTAAAACTGATATTTTTAATAAAGAAAAGTAAAAGTCATAATAATTTACAGTAGAACCTCTATAAATTAATATTCTATAAATTAATAATCACATAAATTAATAATTTTTACCGGTCCCAAGTCGGGCCAGTGTAAATATTGACAAAATTCGATAAGATAATAAGATAATACTTTTTTTGAAACTTTTATGTAAAATTATGGTCCCAATAGTAATATAAATTAATAATTATACATTTAGGTATATATTAATAATATAATATAGTAAACTATGATAATATTGTTATTACAAGTTTATAAAATTTGTTTGATTTATCTTCTAAATTCATTATTATGACATTTTTTGAATGAATTTTACATTGTTGAAAATATTGATTTTGCTTTGATAAATATTAAAATTTCAAACTCAAAATATCTCTATAAATTAATATACTATTAATTTATCGATAAATTAATAATTATTAATTTATCGATTAATTAATAACTCTATAAATTAATAAATTTTGAGAGTCCCAACATTATTAATTTATAGAAGTTTTACTGTATTTAGATTTTTAATTATTAAGTTATCAAGAAAAAAACTATTAGAGAGAAAAGTCTCAAAGCTTTGTTAAGAGGTCTGCCAACGTAAGGGAAAACGACCAATTAGTACCCGCACTATTTGTAGTGTAGCGATTTAATACCTCCACTATTTTGGTGTGTGTTTTAGTATCTGCACTCGATAAATTTTGAAAATACGTACCTGCACTCGGCCGATACATACCTTGACCATATCCCGTTAGTCAACATTTTCTACTCCGTTAACGGCGATGACTAAGCTGCCAGCTCCGTGCATCTGTGGAACAGTAGCGAAGACGACGTCGTATTGTTAGTTTAAGGATGAAATTTTTTTTCCCTCAAAACGACGTCGTCTTGTGTTTTGGGCCGATTTAAAGTTGTAACCCAAAGATTTTGGGTTTTGGTTGAACCAAAGACGATGTCGTATTGTCGTATTGTCGTTTTGTAAAACAGACGAACAATCACGATTTCGTCTTCTTCGTCGAGGGCGATTTCACGAGAGATAGAGAAACCTTGGAGATTTCATCTGTAAAAGTAGGTGTGTGGGTCATTAAAACAAGTAAATTCCGAGTCTAATCGAGTTTGTGGGACTCAATCCATCAAATAATGAGGTAATGTAAAATTTTAGGGTTTTTATTTTGAAATCGAATTGAATTTGTTTAATCAGTGCTTTTGATTTGTTTAATTGGTTCATTCAATTGTTTAATCAGTGCTTTTTAATTGTTTAATCGATGCTTTTGTATTGTTTAATCAAATGATGCTATAAAATTCATCTCTTCTCATTATATCCTCGTTTTTTACAAAACTTTTCAGTGATGTTTCGGATACTTTGTTTGTCATCAACCATGGAGGGAATTTTGAAATAAGTGAGGATGGCACGACTTATTACAACGGTGGCTCTATTACTGAGCTTCTTACACCGGCGAGTGCATTGTATAGAAGCTTGCCCGTGAGTTTGTATGGTCAAATAGTGTGGTACAAAATGCCGTATAAAGATTTAAGTGAGCTTAAGGTCTTGTGTAATGGTGTAGACAACTTCTCGAAGATGTATGAGGCGGCTATGTGGTGCAAATCAGTAGAGATATACATGGAGGTTGATGCCGACTATGGCGGAAGAGATGACAGTGGAGTTAATGTAGGTGGCGATAGGATAGAGGAGACAAGAGATAATGAAGGAGATAATGTAGGTGACGAGAGGGAGACAAGAGATAAAGAAGGAGCAGCAAATGAGATGTGTGATGAGCAAGCTTGTGTAGAAGAAATAGTGGCCACATTTGTTGATGAAGAAGAGAATGATGACTACCAAAGAACACCTCCTACATCGCCTCACGAAGGAGAAAATAATGAGATGGTTCAGTATGATGGCTACAGAAGCGGAAGTGGAGAGCTCAAGATTAGGCAAGTCTTTGTAAGCGTGGCTGAATTTAGAGAGGCTGTGTTGGAGTATGCCTTAAAAGACGGTTGGAATATCAAGTTCACAAGATGTGCAGCAAAGAATTATGAGGCTAAGTGTGGTATCGAGAATTGCCCTTGGAGAATCTACTGCTCTTATGAAGAATCTGTTTCCCAGTGGATGGTTAAATCATTTCAAGAGGAGCATTCATGTTACAAGGACCAGCGTTGTAAAATATTGACAGAGAGTGTAATATGT